TCTGCAAATGATGCGGCAACTAATTTTAAGAAGGTCCACAAAATAAAATAAAATAAAATAAACAATAAAAAAGGAAAACTTTACCGAAAAGCGAAGCCTCGAGAAGTTGATTAGCCAAGAGAACCTAGTGCGTGGGATTAACGCCGCCGGCTTCAAGGGTTCGCTTCTGGATCTTGGTAATGTTAAACAAGAGTGAAATCATAATCACAAATTTTTCAACGGCTTGGGGAAAAGCATACTCTGAGGTGCAAACTATAAAGCAAGTGTCAAATAACCTACCCATTACATGAGATAGACGTGAGGTCACTTAAGATATTTAGAACATACAAATTGGTTCAAGGAACGTTTGCACACCTCCATGTTGAACCTCATTTTGTTTTGTTGATCCTCACTTTGTACTCCTCATTATGGTTGACGGTTATGCTTAGGGTAAGACTGAGTGCGTAAGAAGAGCGATCGACTACATTGCTTCTTGGTTGGTCAGATTGTTGCTTCAGAAAGGGTACATTGTCAAGGCCTCTGTTTGTGATCCCGGTGAGTTTCCCTTGATCTTCTCTCTCTCTCTCTCTCTCTCTCTCTCTCTCTTTGTTTTTTTACTTTTGTGTTTTTGCCTTGGTTTTTCTGACCATGAATCATGGTAATAAACGTTAGATTTGATGGTTTTGTTTGTGATCTTATATTTTATGTGTGTAATTGCAAGAGATTTATGTTTTACAGTTGACTTTGCATTTCATCGCATGTTAAGAATTATTCTAGAAATTGAGCAGTAGATGGATGAAAATTTGTCGTCATGATCTATGTTGTGTGTGTTTCTGTCTAGTTTTGCTGAAAAAGAGATGAAAATGGAGTTTTACCAGTGATAATTAGTTGAAAATAGGAAACCCGTAGATCATCTTGTCCTATTGGTATAGTCATATATAAATATATACCTTAGCTTTTTTTATTTCCCAAGTTAACTATTTTTAATTTTAAAATCTCTTTAAAAAGTTATGTGTCATGGCAGAATGAATTATGATGTTCTTGCTTCTCTTTTTAGTGTTTTGAGTTATGTTAGTTAGACATCTTAACTAACCAATCTACATTATTACAACATAAAGAGCAGGTTCATGCATTTAGATAACTATTTTGGGATCTATAAGTTGATTGTTCATGCATTTAGATTGTCTAGTAAATACCTAGTTGAGGTTATATGAGAAAAAAGATTATTTTTTTCTATTAATAAGGAACTATATAGAGAAGTTTATTTTGAACTATATATGAGAAAAATATTATTTTGGGCTAAATCTATATTTGCTTGATAACTCGAGATTTATAAACAACTAAATGTTTACAAGATTTAGTTCATGTAACTTGTTAGGGGTAGATGCTTTAAATTCATAATTGAAGGTACTTGAAGATCCTTGATATGATGTTCTTGGTAGGGTTTTACTGGTTTGATCTTAAGTTTGATGAAATGTGACATTTAGGATATTTAGGTTGTTACTTTGATAAGCATACTTTAAGATAAAGTTGAATATGCAATTAGTTAGTTAGTTAGTTTGTTTTATTTCCAATTGCGCTAAAATTAGATTTACTAAACCAAATTTACTAATTATGATTGTTTGTGTATAATAAAAAAATCTTATTTTTCAGGATGGTGTAGGTGAAGCAACAAATTTATAATCCCTCGGTGTTGTTATCTCGGCATATTGAGGGAAACTAAATGAATAGAGTTGACAAGTGAGGTGGTGGCATTTATGATGTATATTTAGAAGATATCTAGCCGTTTTACTAATTGCGATAAACCATGTTTAGATTGTTATGTTTTTGTTAGATGTTGCATTTTAGAGTTTTTTTTATTTTTTTTTTATTTTTTTTTTCGGTGTACATAGACATGATTATTGATTTAATTTATAAAAGTTATTTGTAAATTTAATTGTCAATAATATTCAATTATGAATAATATAAAGTGATACCAAAAAGTATGATATATAATGGAAAGTGTTATATAAAAAAAAAAAAAGTTGAAAGTGTTGCAATAGAGACATGAAAGTGATACAAGATAAAATAAAATGTTACACTTTAATTGAAAGTGCTATATAAAAAATGTTGCATTTAATTAAGAAAGTGCTACATAAAAGTTATAGATAACACTTGAAATGTGTTACTTGAAAATGATACAATAAATTATTTTAACACATAAAATAAGTGTTACCAAAAGTTACATTATATGTTACCTTAGACAAAAGGTAGCACGAGCAACTATAGCGTCAATATTTGTACTACCTATTGTCTATAGTAACATTTTTTGGTTATTAAGTATTATTTATATGATGTTACCAAAGACCATTTATGTTGTAGTAAGACCATCTCCAACCGAAAAACTCATACTTAAACCCATTTTGCAGTAATTGTCCTATTTTGCAGTAATTTATTTCCAACCGAAAAACTCATTCTCATACCAAAAAGGATATTATTAGAATATTCTCTTTTACATCAACTTTTATAACTTTTCAATACTACCCACATATTTTACAACTTTACAAATTGAACCACACTATTATTTTAAATTCAATTTGGACTTTATGTAATTAAAATTAATTATACATAATAAAATCGGAGAAATAAGTATTCATTAAAAATTAAAATTTCAGCACACAAATAAAATTAAAAATTGCAATTCACTAGTTATTGAAATGTTTTTCCTTAAACCGTGATCTATCATGTACTAGTGTTATTTCAATATGTATTCCTAATGTTTTTCAATATTTCAATATGTAAACCGTGATTTATTATAGTCTTTAATGTTAATCTTGTAGTGTTAATCGAAAAACTAAATATATATACTAATATATTGACATGCATAAAATTAAGGATAAATATATGATAATATTTACTTTAAAAATTATATTATTTCAATTAACTTTAATTCACGTATAAATATTAAGGAATACCTGAACAGACATATATATAGTCTCGTATCATTTTCATTGCATAACATAAAATAAACAAATAAACAAAATATACATAACACAAATAGTCTCGCTCACCTGCCCACGGTGGGCAGTGCCCACCAGAACACGTTTTTCAATTAAAATTTAATTGAAAAACGTATTCTCAGAATACGTTTTTCATATAAAATAAAGTGGTGGGCACTGCCCACCGTG